AGGATCCCCCAGGAGAGGCTGCAGCCAGCAGGAGAGGCCCCCCAGCTCCAGGAAGGATCTGAGTAGCGACCTGAGGGGTTCCCAGCTCTGCTTCCAGCTCCTCCAATCAGAGGCCAGGCAGCGCGATGTGAGGCCGGGGCTCTGGGATGGTCAAGACCCCTAGCAGGCTAAAGCAATGCCACCAGTAGTGGCTGTGTGGCAGTGTTCCTACCTGCCATGTGGGAGACCTGGGTTTAAGTCCCAGCAGAGGTGACTTGGGGTGAGTGAAATAACAAGAAGCAAATCTTCTTGCAGTGGAAAGGGGCCACTGTGTTTTCCCCCTTTCTCCCCTTCCAGGTACCAAGGCCCTATGTTTCTTTGTCATTTGACATTTTGCATCTTGTGCCTTTTTATATTTCACCAACCCATATTGTTTGTTCTGCTGTTTGTGTTTTATATTTTGTTAACCCTGTTTTGTCAATGATTGTAAGTGTCTAACCTTTGTTGAATTCTGCCCCCTTGGGGCATTGTACTGTCCACTATACCCTCTGATTTTTGCCTCTTATGTTCCCAGTATTAAAAGGTAGATGGTTAAGTCCCCATTGGTGGTCTGGCTCTGCTCTATAGGGGAGGAGAGTCCCTACACCCCCCATAGTGCTTGTGCACCTGCTTTGATCCCTTCAATTGGAGAGGGGGTACCTCTTGGAGTACCGCCTGGGTTACAGAGGCCTAGCTAGAGAAAAACGGGTCAGAGCCGGGTTGGCAAAAGACCCCAACATACAAAATACAATAGGCAGTCTCCCACTCTCAAGAACAACAACAATAATTTCCAACAAGACGTGGCAGGTGTGTAGAGGACGGGACATAAGAGTTCCAAAGCAGAGTCCAAGGGCACCCCACATAAGGTGCAGCTTAACAGGGAAGATGGCATTGGGGAGGGCAACTTGTTACAGTCCTGTATGTATTCACAGAGCCAGCTGTGGCAGAGCAAACTGAACTGCCCATGCACTGTTCAAACAAGGAGCCACTGCCCTGAATTGGAGGGTAGGGCTTACATCCACAAGTGTGATTTCATTTCCATGGACTAGGATAGTTTAGTGGTGCCCAATCTCAGGCACTGTGGGACAGATAATTGGTGAAGGGCCAGCCCATGGGCCAGATCCAGAGTGCAGAGTTGTGTCATCCGGCCTGCAGGTGACAAATTGTTACCAAATATGGTTTTGTGATGTGACCCACCCTATTCACTAACCTTGCATGAACCAGTAGCAGGGCATCTGCTCACAAAGTGCTTCATTTCTGTGTTACTCACAGCAATCACAGTGTTGCTGGTGTTTTATAAAATAGCATGGTGGAGGCATGCATAGTTTTAAACAAGCTTAGGCAGTGATGCTATTAGTTCACTAAGACTTGTGGATAGAGAGGTTGCCCTTGTTTGTACTTTTATTCATATTGCCAAAGTGAGGGTAGGCTCCAGATTAAAAAGAAAAAAGAGTGAGATTATGTTGTGGGAAAAAAGTAACCATGAGGATGTCAACAATATGGCAGGAAACAGATGATCTGGCAGAAACTTAAAACACTGCATAAGTTATCAGCAGTGAAATCATTAGGGGGAGAGCAGCAAAAGTCAAAGGATGTGTTTGAATGAATATGTGGAGATGACCAAAATATTTAGTCATGTGTATTAGTCTTTTTTTTTTAAAGACAGACCCTACTTCACCATCAGCTTATAATGCTAAACCCAAACACAAGAATTTTCTCAGGGGCTCATCTCTATTTGTAGTTGACTTCTGTCTGGACTCCTGTTTTCTCAGTACCCAATAATTCATACCGCTTCAATTATCCAGGTACAATTAAAGTGGGCGAGCTTATAGCTGCGTGAATATATTTATACTGGTGTAGCTTATTATTTTAGGAAGGGACTAATTTATCTGGGGAAAAGGCATCTTTACGCTAATGTAACAACATTCACACTGGAGTTGGAACTGATATATCTCTTGTAATAAAAGAGCACATCCCTAACCAATAAACTATACTAGTATAAGAACTGCTTGCAGTCTAGGTTGCACAGATAGCTAAAACTGAGGACTGTGCACAGCATAGCTAAGCACTGCTAAGTTAGGCTGAGAAGGCTCAGAGAAAGCAGGAGTAGGGCTGAAGGTGCCTGAATTTTGAACTGAAGTTGAACTCTGACAGTTCACTGCGTTTTCCTAGGTGCTGCCAATTATTTTAGAATCTGTTTCTCATGCACTGTCTGGATCAACTCCTGGTACTTATGGTGATATATATGTCTATCAGGTTAAGCCTCATGGACTCATCTTATTCTTCTGGTTCCTACATACCTTAGCAAATAAGAGACATTATTTTAAAAATGCAAGCAAGACACTTACCTGTAAAAAGTAGTTGATGCTTCCTCCAGAACCTGTATCTCTGTCCACTGCTTCAGTCTTGAGGATGCTACTCCCTGAGGGAGTGTCCTGTAAATCAAAAGAGATAGCAGATTCAGAGGTGTCTGCAGAGCAATGCAAGGTAAAAGATAAGATGGCTAAAAGATTAGGAATTAATAAGTGAGAAAACAAGAAATGAGAAGCAGAGAGAGGAATTTAAAATCTGGAGAAATAAAAGCTGGAGGAATTGATAAAGGACAAGTCAGTGAAAAGGAGAAGTGAAACTTATGTGTGGATAAGCAAGTGTATCAACTGAGAAGGTAGTGAGGGAGACAATAAGAAGGGGAGATAAAGAAAAAGATTTTAAATAAGGGGGATAGGGACAAAAAAGGGAAAGAGATACTTTCATAGGGTTCAAGGAGATAATGAAATCTGAAATTATAGGAATGACTTTCCTAGAATGCTGCTCTTCCTCCATTTGACGTCAGTGGTAACACTCTCATTGATATTAGTGCAGGAGCAGGCCTTCTATGGAAAATACTGTGCAAATATCACAGCTTCATCTCTCATACTATTGTGGAGGACAGTAGTATAAGACTTCTCAGGAAGCGTGCATGACACAAGCACCCAATACCTAACTAAAATTCCATAATAAAAAGTAAAAGTTCATCAATGATGATATATCATCACTAAAAACATACTAGATCTACTTCTATTTATCCTGTTGAAGCATTGAAACATACAGTATGCAAAGGAAGTCAACCAACCTCTGGGACATGGACTATGTAGGGTGTGTTGACGAACTCTGGGCTCTCATCGTTGGCATCTGTTATAAGGATTCTGACTTTTTCATCAACCTGGAGTGGAATATGATGAAAACGTAATCAAACTGAATTGTAGCAATTTCATTTGTCTGCTCTTTCATTTGTCTACTCTGTCTCTCAGTAATTCTCAAGCAGGGTGATGTGAGATCCTTTAAGTGCAGTAAGGGTTGGCATGCAATATTAGCACTACTAGGTATGCAAAAACCTACCCAAGACTCACAAGATAAACCCAGAGATTTCAAATAGGTATTCATATGTCAAAAAACATCCTGACCTATCATGCTCTTTCTGAGTTCCTTGAAACAGAAAAATTATTCCATTCTTTCTTCTGTAGTAAAGAAACAAGTGAAAGCTAAGAGTTTGCATTTTCAGAGGGGCACCTTAAGTCTAAAACATTGAGAACCGCTTGACGAATAATTTCAATAGCAATGGAAAAACTTGTTTGTCATGGAATGTTCTTCTGCTACCAAATTCAGAAGTGGAAACCTGCCCCCCCCAGCAGCATAACAAGTCTTCTTAAATAATTATTTTAAGAATGGAAGGTAAAGTATTCTCTGACATAAGTATTTTGATGTATGCAATGTCTTACAAAAGTCTCAGCACACTATATAAATTACAGCTGATAGGCCTGATTTTTAAAGTTAGTTTCATACTTATTAAACTTGCCACGAACCTAAACATCCTACTATGTGCATACAAATAGGTGACCTGAGCAGGTGCATGTTCAAATGTGTCTCTTGTTGACCATGCTGGCGCACAAATGACTCATCAGCAGGTGTTGGTGTAAGGAAATAGGTATACAAACAAACGTTACCTGTAAGTAGCCAGATTGTAAACTTACAGGGCATCAGTTATTCTGGTAACCATCCCATATACAAACTCTGACCCCTTGGTAAAGTCAAGTTATTTAACTGCACTTTCATTAAGGGATAATCTACTTTGCATTTCTACATAGTAAAAGTGTGCACATAGGCAGTTATCACAGAGTAGCCGACAGGCTGTAAATTCTTATCCTACCCTACCTTGCAGTAATTTATTTATGTTTCCAAACCCTTTATGTAAGTAGGGCATGAGCACAGAGATGCATATGATTTGGAAAATATCTTTCTACATATACATCTAGAAATCACTGTGGCATCCAACAAAATGTAGTCCCTTTTTTATTTATAAATATATGGTAGACAATAACAACTGCCAACAAAACTGCACATTTATTTGTGAAGTAAAGAGACATATTTGAATTATATAGTTGCCCTAATTATGGGAATTTCTATGGTACTCATCATCTTAGTAGTCGAGTACCACTCAAATGTTCACAAATTATTTATTTGAGGCAGGAAATGTTCCAGATAATCATTGTTCCAGTTTTATTGATGGGGAAATGAAAATGTAGAAGTTAAATGACTCTTTCAGGGTCTCACGGATACTTTTGTGACAGATTGGGTGCATCTACACATGAAATTAGTGCATAGTTCTCACCAGAGTTTATTGCTCCCAGACACAGTGTTTACATGTGTACCCAGGGCTACAGTACATTGAGCTGGGGCAGGAGAACCCTAGCTGGCAGGAGGCCAAGGGTAGGGGGTAAGGGGGGTCAGCCTGCCAGCCCAGAGCTGTTCTGCCTCAGCTTAACGTGCTCCAGAGTGGCTGGCTAGGGCACAAGAATGCTACAGTGAAGGGCTGGCTAGTCCTGGTCACCATCTTCACATGTGTTGTGATGCACTAAATAACTCTGCCATAGGATAGTATTTGTATCAGACAGTTAACGGAAGAGTTGATTAATTTACTGTGGTCTAATAGTGCCACTGTGTAGAAAGTGATGCTTTACTGCAGAGTTAGTTAGTCAACTCCTCAGTAAGGTGCGTGTGTAGATGCTCCCACTGAGAAATAAAAACAATATTTTCTGACTGTCAATCAAGGTCACAGCCAGAAGCCTGTTGGGCATGCCAGTTTCTCTAACAAACTGTACATAAGGGAGCAAAGTCACTAGCATCCTATCTGTCCACCTCTGATTCCACACTTCAAATTACCAGATATTTATTTATAGCTGAGTCAACTGAGGGCAGCCTTTAGGATTCTGGAGATAAGACTCAAGTTAATGCCTCTGGATCACCTTAACTTCTTTGCCCCCCTCCCTCTCTGGCTGTCAGTGCTGTGCCTTAAGACTGAAAAACTTGTTTCTTTAAAACAAGCAAAAACAGCAGAGAAGTTTGTGGGACCCCTAACGAAAGATACCAAAGATAAGATGAAACAGCACATTACTCAGTAAAGACTCCTAATACCATTCTGAGGCATAGGTTCACTAGGAAATTAGGGAGAGGAATACCTGATCCTGAATCTCCAATTCTAACTTGTGTAATGCCTTATATTTTGTTACAGAGCCTCCAAGAATCTGGCAGGCCTAACTCTTCTTAAGGGTATGAGACCCAAGGAGATCACAGCCCAAGATGGATTCCTGTTTGAAAATGCTATGTGTTTGCAGCCTAATTTGAATCAGACTGCCCCCGTGGACAACAGAATCCATAATTATCTAGAAATGACTGTTCAACGAACAAGATTTAGGCGTGAGCTACTATGATTTCCTTGACACTGTCAGTAAAACAAACATTGGCAATTTTGAATACTTACTATATTTATGCCATCTGAAATACTGACTATTACTTCGATTTCATCTTCTTTCTGCAAATAAAGGAATCCATGTAAAACAGATCCAGTATTTAGCTAGATTCAAAGGGCACTGAGTGTTTAAATAAATCACAAAAGTATCCAGACCTATTATACTAACAAAAAAGAAAGCCAGTTAAATCATAGCTTTTGGTGTCAATTCAAGGTAGTCCCAACCATAAGGCATACTTGGACAATCATCTTTCAGGATCCTATGCTGTAATTTGTGATATACTCTTATGTTTCAGATTTTAAAATGATCTTTTGATATTAGGATGAGCTCTGTTCTTGGGGGACAGATTACTTTACATGTGCCTACTGCCGGACTCCTTACATCTATAGCATCTTATGCTGACCACTGTTAGAGGTAGAATAGTGGGCTGGATAGACAAAAGTATTCCTATGAAGATCTAGGTGAATTAAATCCTTATATTTTTCAAGAATACAATGACTTAAAGAGTTATTTTGTGAAAGTTTTACTGTCTTTGAAAATGTTTTTTTAAAGTTGAAGTCCATCCAAGCCTAACAGTCATTCAGCTAATGTGGTTCATTTGGCTAGGATCAAACCCACCTTTGACTCCACAACCTAAATAACCAAGGCATCAATTTCTAACTAGATCTACTTGGGCTGACCTTTGGCATGAGTCCAGAGTAGAGTTTAACTCACACTTCTGGACCTAGTGAGACACCTTCACCCTTTGGTACCATATCTAAAGGAATTCGTAAATCTTGAATAGTCTCATCTGAAAAAGCAACTCATGGGTTTAGAGAAGAGGATCCTGGAGTAATTTGATTACCTGAAATACCTTATTAGTGGGGCTATCTTGGACTGACATTATTTAAATGGAAACATCTCTCTTAGTGCCTTTTATGTCTATAATTTTGAATAATTTCTTATATAAATATTTAGAAAAGTTCAATGTAGCAATATAGCCCTTAATATAGCATTCTAAATCTAAAAAAATACTTGTGTGGATATAAAAAAATGTGCACAGCGAAGCTTCATAACAAAAATCAGATTTTATCCACAAGGTTTAGGAAAACTTAACTACATTAGGAACTACACAGGAAACTGACGGAAATAAACAGTGACTTTCAGCAAGAGCCTAACAGCCTGGTGCCTCCACATTTTGCATTAGAGGCAGTTTTATGCATAAACTGGGATAATGGGTGATAAGTTATATAATACACTATATAACTAATGTCAGGAGTATTCTATTGCATCATAAGTTGAATGATTTTGGGACCAAATGAGTTGACGCTATTGTGTAAAGAAATTGAATTGCTTGCTGGGCCCTATAGGGTGGTACCATTTCACTGTACATTACCTCTCTATCAAGTTCTTCAATCAATGTGACATTCCCAAAGTTCACATCAATGGCAAAGTATCGTCTTAACCCTGCTTCAAATTTAATTCCATAGGTTACAGGATCTCCTTCTGGGTCAGTTCCATTCAGAGTATACACATGTGTACCTGAAGAGGTGAAGTGAGTTATTTCAGAAGACTGTTCTGTGGTAACTTCAAGCAGCATGTATTTTCATACTATTTCTTATAAATGAGTTCCTTGGTAATGTATTTGTGTATTCATAAATAACAAGTAGTTTTATAGTTTTGATGATAATTTTCTGCCTGTTGGTTAAATCCAGCTCACCAAAGACCATTGTCCCCCTCCAGAACTCTCATCTGCAGAATACCTTTAAAATCAGCCATTTATTTTTGTATATGTACCTGGATGAGGAGCAGCAGGCCTTGTCTGAACCCAGGCAAGACCAAGGTGATGATAACAGAAAAAAGGGAGACATGAAATAAACTGTCTCCTCTATTAATTTTAGGGTATCTACTTTAAAAATTTCAGTTAATTTGGAGTATGAGGGCCCTTTGGGTCCTCAATTTTACTGGAGGCCCCCAAAAATAGAGAAACATTAAATACCCACTGCCTCCTATGACCAACCAGAAGATGCTCCTCCTCTCCTCATACTCAAAGGGTAGCTATCTTTCACTGGAAAAATGAAATGTAACAAAACCAAGGAGGCTCATGAAAACAGAAGAGAACATTTGTACAGGAGGTCAATGTAGGCTATGGAGTTCAAGAAATAAGAGAAAGATTACAGACTTTCATTCTTTCAGAATGAAATAAATGCAAAACACTCTACCACATAGTTTCCACTTACTAAATTCTTCACGGACAACCACTCATTCACATACAAATTAATGAACCCTGTAAACTAATCAATTTACTCCTTTTACAAGCTAGGAAAAGATAAATTGTAACATCTATTTTTAAATATGAGAGAAGTCAATGCCAACTTCAGTGAACTGACTCTTTTTATAAAAAGTGGCATTTCCTGCAGGACTGTAACACCTACATTTTCAAAACATTGTGAGGCATATTTATTATACAGCTTCCTTGCAAGGCTCTTAGTCTATTTTTCACTAATAGAACATCCTTTATCCAAGGTAAAGTATTTTACAAAATTAATTAACGGGGTCTGATAGTGTTGTTGTGCTCATTTTTCATAATTATTTGCATTTTCCAATAAGTAAAGTGAGGCATAAATGAGTTAATTGTTCAAAATCATAGAGCAAATTATTGTCAGAGTCAGGGACAGGACTCAGGAGTCCTGATTTATCTTCTACTGCTTTACCTACTGGGCAAGTCGCTCCTTCCATTGAAAGTCTTTCACAGCTCTAAAATTATGGTTTAATCTTTTTTCCTAGTTCAGATTATAAAACCATTCTTATATAAAACAATATTTAACTCGGTGGCAAAAGTCCTGGGATGCAGAAGTTGTGTGGAGGAGGTTAGGGATAAATCTTTTCCCTGCCTTTGTCAGTGAGCCTGGGAAGTAACCAACAGCAAAAAGAGGAGAGGTGTGTTTGTGGTTTGAGGGAGAAATTAATATGGCAGAGTTGGATTTTGGATTTAGGCATTCACATGAGGTGTGTACCATTGTCAAATATAAGCACCATATTTTGCCATGTTCCATGTTAAAAATACTCCAAACACTGAATTTTGTATGATTTTAACTATAACTCAGGTCAGCTTCACTTGGATTTAATCTCATTTCAAAGCAAAACTAGACAGTGCTGTTGCAGGTTACAATCTCCTTAACTACTACCGATAACATAATATTACTCTGTTGCTGTAATTGTGGTGCTGTCAGCAGTATCTGTGCACCAGATGGGTTCCCTTTTATGTTCTCAGGTTTGTAATAAAACCTTCTCAAAGCTCACTTGCTTACCCTGTGGATGCAGCAATGAACCTCTCTCAATAACAGCACCATGGACTATTGGCACAACCAGCAACATGGCATTGGAGGATCATAGTTAGCCCAATTTGATTATTTCTGTATACATATATACAGAGAGAGAGCGAGAGACTATTCTGATTAGTTTTCTGAAGACATAGTCACATTGCACTGCATCAGTGCATAGCATTTGCACAATAATCTCTGCTACTGGCCTTGTGCTAGAAACATGGAGTGTCTTTTAAATAAAGATTATATTCTGCAAAAACTAACAGACACCTCTGTGAACCAACTCAACAAATCCCCAGTGAATAGTGAAAGCTTTCAGAACAGGCTCACAAAACTGCCACGTCACTTCATTTTCCCCTTGGGATTAATCAAAAGAGAAAAAACTAAAAGCAATGTTGTTATTAAAAAAGTGAGTAGGAAAAGCCATTGGGCTGTTACACAGGATGTTTTCTTTCTCCCACTTCTTGCCCCTAAGTAAATAATTACAAAAAGGCAGGCAGAAAATCTTACATGTAGATATTTTTTTAAAATAGAGTGACACAGGTAAGTAAGTAGATATCTACATCCTGTCTTAGCTTTTTAAAGAAGAGAGCTAATTTTCAAGTATTGAACATCTAGCAGCTCCTGCTGATTTCAAATATTCTCATTTTTAAAAGCTTGGTCTTTGCTGTTTAACAAGTGTAAGGCTAAATTCTTATCACATTTATATAGGTGTATATCTGAAGTAACTCCACTGACTTCATTGTGAACATAGTGTTTTTCTCACCCTCTTTTTCTTTTTACAATATTTCACTTCTTAATTACAGTCTCACTTTCTGTGCCTCTTCCCTTATCACTGTCTCTGTCCTGTCTGTTTCCTTTCCAAATGCTGAACTGTTTCTTTGCCTTCCAACTGATCTCCTCTGCCTATCTGAGATGTCCTGCTATGGGTTTCTTGCACATTTGTCTATGTCAGCTGTTGAAGCTGTTTGCTTAAAAAAAACCTAAATTTTGTGTTTCAAGTGCTGTGAACACTAGTGATAAAAATAGCTCTTGACATTTGCAGTCTATTACACCTTTCACCCGCAGAAAGAGAATCACTTTAATTAAACTCGATGATACCATCATATGGCAAGCTCCTAATACCTCCATTATAAGAGACATGAAGTCACAAAGGCAAGGGACATGTCTACGGTCTCATAGCCATGTTGGTGACAACCAGTGGATCTTATCTCCTTTTGTTTGGTTCGGGCACCATCTTTTGGTAGTGTGTTTGTTCGCCACTTAGGACAGTGAGGTCCATGGCTAGGGTTCCTGGACAATACCACACTACTACTAAAAAATACAGCATTACTCTCTAGAAACATTCTATAACGAGTGCAGCACACAGATTTTCAAAGAATATTTTATTCAAACACATATGAAAGTATTTTAATCTGGACTTATGCAAACCTAGCCCACTAAAACATAAGCAGATGGGGGACAGAATAATAGGAAAGTAGGATCTGCAGAGAGGAACATCCCTTTCCAGGTAAGTCAAATATAAGCTCTACCATCTGTCCTGTCATTATAAGTCTACACACTGCTACTGTTGAAATCTCTTGAGGACATTAAGATCTGCACATGCTAGGGAATTTTTCTAATAACTCAAAATGATATAAAATATTGATGCTCATGTAAAGTGTGTGATTGTTGAAGTTTTCAGAGAGAAAATGAAGCCCCTCATCGATCTTCATTTCCTTTCTGGGTATTACACACCCCTGGTTTTGCAAATGCAGGGTATTTAATGTGCCATTTTCACTGGATTGTTTGATTGTAATTTCTCTACTGGTTTAGTCTCAGTTCCTAATATTAGTTGACTTATATTTTAATGCACAAATTCTCCATATAATTAACACTCCAGGAAGACTTTTCAGCACAGTGTTAATTCCAATTAAAAAATCTACTCTTGGCACATAGATTCTACTTACTGAAAAGTAAGTACATTAAAAATCCAACTAACATCTTATGTGTGGGTTCGAGCAAACAGCCTCTTCCTGTCAGACACATAAGCAAATAAAGCATTATTCACCTAGGCACAGGGAAAATGCTGGTAGAGATCCCAGTCCTGAAGCTCTAACTTACTTTTATTAAAAACCTTTATTAAAGGCCAACTTCATCCCATAAATCCATGTTAGTCAACAGGGGGATGAATTTGGGCCAATGAGTCTACTTTCATTACAATACATTATCAGGTCTAGAATTCTGAAAACAAATGTCCCCTCTGTCTTATTTTGCCTATTCTGTGAGTTGACTTCTGGGTCTTGGCTGTGACATGGTTTCTTGGTTATCCATCTTCATAAGATGTCTATGTCCCTGACAACAAGCAAATACTTTCCAGCCTTGTGGGAATTTGCTGTTCCTGTCTCAGTCAAATTCCGACTGTATTACAGGAAGGGAAGGAAAATGAACTAGTTTCTTACTATCTTGTTCAAACACAGTCTATTTGATTCTCATTAACTGGTTCATAATGCATGAGTACATTCAGCCTGGCATTCAGTTCTCAAAACTTCTTTGTAACATGGACTGTATCTTACAGGGTTCTCACTTAACAATCTGCCTGCATATTTACTACCACTTAACCTTATCTATCTGACATTCATGATCAGGCAGCTCACCTCTTCTCTCCTGTTTTCATTGCCAGAACTGCTTAAAAAATGTGGAAACAACCATCTTGACTAACAAACCAGACATGTAACTGTGGTCCCCGTACTCTCCTGAGCTAAAAACATAAACTGCTACAGAATGAATGAAAATTTTCTGACTGGAGATTATCCTCTCAGTACAGAGGCTTTGAGACAAACATTTCTCATTAGGTGCTATATCACTTCCTCTCCTACTGGTGATAGCATAACATCTCTGTTGAATCTACAACAATTGATTTAATAATTTTAGGAGGATATTTAATGTATTTACAGATGTCTTCAATACCACAAAATGGCTGGAACCAAGGATGAGAGCAAGCACCATATGACCAGTCAGCTGTTTATGGATCACCAGCAAGTACCCTTTTGATCCAGTATCCTTTAAACGGCAGAACATGCTTCATTATGGTATTGTACTAGCACTTCTACATCAGTGCAGAAGATACTGCTGTTTCAAGACCTTGCTTTGATTGCATATAATTTTCTCTGGAAAGGGTTTCTTTTAGGGCTGAAAACCTCTGTCTCAGTTGAGAGGTGAATGTTTTTGAAAAGT